GGCCACTGGCATCCTGGAGCGAGAGACTGGGAGTTTGGGCTCCGAGCAAGGTTGGCTGTAGGGGGTCCTGCTGGTCCCCAGTCATTTTTTGGCTGTAAACTTGTGAAATGTGTCTGTCTAGCAGGAGCCTGTTCACTGTGTACGTGCAGCTTAGAGACTGAGAGTAAGGCAGATACCACAGTAAGAAGGACCTGGTCACGGACCCCCACAGGATCCCTCAGACCTTATTGCTTAGCAGCAAACTTAGGAGCAGGGGCTGGAGATTTAGCTCAGTGGCACAGTGCCTGTCTGGCAAGTGCAAGGTCATGAGTTTGATTCCTGGTACCGGAAGAAAAACAAAAAGCAAGCAAACAAACAAGCAAACCTAGGAGCAGCCTCACACTTAGCTGGGGAGGGAAGGGCCTGGCTGCCATGGGAAGGTTCTTACAGGAAAAATGCACAGTGAAGCCTTGGTTAGATCTGCCTGTAGCATCTAGAGAACTTTCTAGCACCTCTTACAGGAAGTTAGGGCTGGGGGAAGAGCCATAAGAGCATCCTGAGAGCCTAGCCAGCCCAGCCAGGACTTTAGAAGGCCGTCATGGGGCCAATAAGGGACAGCTGGCAGGATTATGGCTGCCCCTAATAGCACCAGTACCCAGGAGCAGGTTGGGCCACTGTGGGCAGGGAGTGTCCCCAGCTGACCCAATAGGCCATGTGGGAGAGGACTGTCACCCTTTTCTGGACAGGACAAGACCAGGACAGAGGAGGACAAGGCCAAGCTTGCAGGAGCACTCTGAGGGTAGGCAGGGCTGTCTTCTACTTGGATGCTCTGGAAGCTGGCTGTTCCGTCCTGGCTGTGATAGGTTCTCAACCATGGTCAAAAGCTGGTACCCCTCACACTGTAGTCTCTCATCTGCCAGAGTAAGTCAGAAGTCAGTGACAAGATGATTTAGAGCATTTATTACAGTGGAGAGACCATAGCAGAAATGACCATGGAAATCTGAAAATACATACAAGTGAAGGATACTGAAAAGCTACATTAAAAACTTGTGGGATGCAGCACAGAGGAGTTTGAGTGGAAATGTGTCTCGGTACTGATGTCAGTTAGAAGGCTGGAAGTCAGTGAGTTGAGGATCCATCGGAGATGCTAGGATAAGCACAGCAGGACCAGCCCACACAGCACAGGAGGAAAGAAATCATACAGACAAGACTAAGAATGAATGAAACGGTGGGGAGGTACAAGGGAGAGAGCCAGCAGTCCAAACTTCTTGGAGAAGATTAATAAAATTAGCAAATTCTGGTAAATTGCATCACACAGCACCAAAACCAACAACAACAAAAACAAAGAGAAACCACCAAAAACAATGTTAGGAAAAGAAAAAGGGCAGATTAACGTAATGCTGGCAGATTTCTTTCTTTCTTTTTCTTTTCTTTTCTTTTTTTTTTTTTTTTTTTTTTTTTTTTTTTGGGAGCTGCTCGCTATAAACCATGAGTTTGCA